GTTGGTGGGTTTGAACCACCAACTTTGTGGTTAGCACCAGTGCTTATCCTACAGGAGCACAAAACCTTATTTTTCTCTCTCAGAATAGCTGCTGAGTTAGAACCACTGACCTTGTGGTTAGCAGCCCAAACATTTAATTCACTATGCCACCAGATAAAAACCAAACCAAACCAAGCCAAAATAAAAACCCTGAAACTAATTCACTTTAAGATTTAAATGGAGTCTTGGTGTGGTGCTGTAGGATGAACACTGGCTTACCGCAAAGTCAGTGGTTCAAGCCCATCAGTTGCTCCTCAGAACCACTATACAATGACAGGAAGATTTAATTGGTTTAACACTGCTTTTAAACTCTCATTTCATGGTGGTTTTGACTTTAATAGGGAGACAGGAAAATTCTCATTAGCTAAATAACAGAGGGTGAGTCTTGGAGGGATTTTACATAATAATTCAATGAAGGAACAGAAGGCATTTCAGGTCTGAGAACTCGTCTGTTGTTGTTAAGTGCTGTTGAGTCCATTCCGACCTATAACAACCTTGTACAGGGTTTCTGAGGAGCAGCTGGTGAGCTTGAACTGCCGACTTTGCAGTTCACAGGTCTTTGCAGTCTGGCGCATTACACACAGCGCCATACCAGGACTCCTGTGGTATCCCCAAATCACAAAATTCAAAAGTCACCTATCAAGTTTATATATGGAGAGCTTCTCTGGAGCTGGACAGTCACCTTCAGCTTGCATTTGGTACTTAGGTATGCATATAGATTTGTTGTTGTTAAGTGCCATCTAGTTGGTTCCCACTCATAGCAACCCTGTATAGTGTTTCTGAGGAGTGACTGGTGAGTTTGCACTGCTGAGCCTGTGGTTCACTGCTGAGCTGACCTTGTAGTCCAGCGCATTGTCCTGCAGCACCACACCAGGACTCTAATATAGCCTTAGCCTTAATGTAAAGTGTTGTTGTTAAGTGCCATTGAGTCAGCTCTGATTCATAGTGATCCTCTATAGGGTTTCTGAGGAGCAGCTGGTGGGTTTGAACCACCAACCTCATGGTTAGTAGCCAAGTGCTTACCCTACAGTGTTGCACCAGGACTCCTAATATAGTATTGCGATTGCTCATTTCTAAATTCTAAAAGTTTAGAGTACCTCGTCATTAACTGTACTCTTTTCTTTAGCTGCTTTTGTGAAGCACGAAGATTGCTTGCAAATGAACTTAATCAAGGAAAAGTGTTTTTTTTAGATTCTTGAGTTTCTAATTAATTGAAGTCTCAAATATTTGTCCTTGTGTCTTTTAACTTCTGTGTTACAGATTAGAGCTTTCATGTCTTGGTGACCATTTGATAGACTTACTTGAAAAGAAGAAAGGATAATAGGGAAGATAAAATCAAGGGTAAAGTAAAATTTTATCTATAAATTCCTGTACAAAGAATCTGGAGTTCTGCTGTGGCACTGTAGGATAAGAACTGGGTTGCTAATGCAAGATTGATGGTTCAAACCCATCAGCTGCTCCCAAGGAATCCTTTCCAGGGTTGCTGTAAGTTGGAATTGACTCAAAGACACGTAACAAAAAGAATATGAGAAGACTAGCTTTGTGAAAACACTTTAAAAAAAAATATTACAAAACCATTTTTAAAGCTTTTTATTTAAAGGTTTACAGAGCAGTTCATCAGTTTTACATTCAACAAATCATATATTTCGTTTCATTGTAATGCATGCAATCTCCTCAGTGTAACATCACTTATCCCACTTCCTCCCTGGGATTCTAGTTTCCATTCCTCCTTCATTCCCAATCCTTCTGAATTTTGTCCCTAGGTAAATGCTGTTTTGATCTCAAATGGCTGACCATTCTAATTTACATACCTCACTAGTGTTGTTGTGCCCCCTTCATACCTTTCTGCCATTAGATTGAAATTGAGCCGGGGGGTGAGTTCAATTCCAGATCTGAGGGGTCACCAAGGACCATAGTCTCAGGTTCCTCCAGTCTCTTTCTGACCAGTCAGACTGGTCTTTCTTTATAATTTTGAGTTTTGTTCCACATATCCCTCTACTTTATCTGGGACCTTTAAATGTAATCCCTTTCTTCAAGAGTAGTTGGCAATGGCAGCTGGACATCCACTAGTTCTTGTCTCAGGATCCTGGAGACAATGTGAGTGCTGCATTAGTCCAATGGACTAGTTGTTTCCAAGCATCAATTTTTATCATTCTTCTTTCCTCCAGACAGAAACCAAGAACTGTACTTTAGATGGCCACCCATGAACTTTTAAGATCCCAGTGGTGACTTATCAAAGTAGGATGTAGACTATTGTCTTTGTAGACTATGTTATGCCAATTTACCATGGCGCCACCTGAGACTATGATCCTTGAGCCCCCAGGCCCATCAACTCATTCCCTCAAGGTGTTTGGTAATGTGTAAGAAGTATACATAATTTACAAAAACATTCTTAAAGATCACATAAGATTCCTTTTGAGCTTTCTGTATGCATTCATTGTTGTTGTTGTTATATGTTTTCAAGTCGGTTCCGACCCATATCGACCCTGTACAGGGTTTCTGAGGCTGTAAATCTTTATGGGAGCAGAAAGCCTCATCTTTCTCCCGTGGACCAGCTGGTACTTTTGAACTGCTGACTTTGCGGTTCACAGCCCAATTCGTAAGCACTATGCTACCAGAGCTCCTTTATGCATTCATACTGCTATAGTATTTATAAAAACGTAGTGCATATCTATATTTTGGAGTCCTTGTATGGCACTGTAGGACAGGAACTGGACTTCTAGCTATATGTTTGGTGGTTCAAACCCACCAGTCACTCCATGGAAACCCTATACAAGGTTGCTATGAGTCGGAACCAACTTGGTGGCACTTAACAGCAACATACCTATATTTTTAGGAATAAATCTATTTATAAAGTGCATCTAAGTACCATTTTTTATAGTAGCTATCATACATAGTATTGGAGTCCTGGTATGGCACTGTGGGTTAATTCACTGGATTACAAAGTCAGTAAAAACCACAAAGTTAGTGGTTCAAGCTCACCAGCTACTCCTCAGAAACTCTATACAGGGTCGCTATGGGTTGGAACTGACTCAATGGCACTTAACAGCAGCAGCAACAACAACAACAACAAAAATCATAGTATTAAATAATATTAGACATAGAGTGTTGATTTTAAAAAGAAAAGATATAATGATCTAGCATAAGCAGAAATGATTGTATACTTTTCCCACTCACTGTGCATTCATTTATTTCCGCTTACCATGATGAATATATCTAAAGTAGGATAAACCAACTACAAGAAATGACAGCCCAATTGGTACCATCTTAACCCAGGAGAGCTGTGATGAGTGACTGTCCTCACTACTGATTCGAGTCCTCAGGGGCTTGATGATTCGCTGTCTCTGGGTCAGGATGGCTCTCCGGGCTCCATCCCATTTCCCGGGGCCCTGCAGACGGTACTGGTATGGAGTGCATGGGCCGAAGAAAACCTCCATGGCCAGCTTTGGGTCAGAGAGAAAGAGGAATAGCAGGTTGGGCTTCACCCCCACCAGTGTAGCAATCTCATCCATGTACTCAATGTGATCCACCTGGATTGTATGACGCGGGGTCTTCACATACCTACAATGACAAGGAAGTGTTGGGGGACTCAGAAAATTACATGAAGGCTTACAACTTCTATCACTGCAGAAAACAACAAACAGGTGCCATTGAGCTGATTCTAACTCATGGTAATTTTACGTGTGCAGAGTAGAATGGCTCCACAGGACTTCTAGAAGCAGGTCACCAGGCTGTCTTCTGAGGCTCCACTGGATGCATTTGGATTACCAACCTTCCAGTTAGTAGTAGAGTGCTTAACCATTTGTGCCTCCCAGAGACTCCCTTTGTTCACTTCAGAGATGAGGAAATCATTTTTAAAAGATGAGGTGACATGCCCAACACCCAGTTGTTTAATGACAAAGTTGTTATTGCTGTTGTTAAGTACTGTCGTGTCCATTTTGACCCATGGTGGTGGTGGTTATGTGCCATGGAGTCTGAACCGAGTACAGAGTTTCCGAGGCTGTAAATCTTTACGGGAGCAGAAAGCCTCATCTTTCTCCCGCAGAACAGCTGGTAGGTTCAAACTGCTGACCTTAAGGTTCGCAGCCCGATTCGTAACCAATATGCTACCAGAGCTCCCATAGCGACCCTGTATAAGGTTTCCAAGGAGGACTGGTGAGCTTGAACCACTGACCTTGAGGTTCAAACAGACTTTGAAGTCTAGTACATTAGCCCACATCGCCACACCAGGACCCTAAAAAAACTAAACCCACATTCATTGAGTTGATTCCAACTCATAGTGAGTCTATGAGGAAAACTGCCCTGTAGGGTTTCAGAGACTGTCAGTCTTTATGGGAACAGATAGCCTCATCTTTCTCACTTGGATCAGTTGGTGAGTTTGTACTGCTGATCTTGTGGTTAGCAGCTCAACATTTAATCACAGGGTTCCATAAAGTGGAACCTAAGTTTCCATACTTGAGGTCCACTCATACTTTCCTGTATGTTCTATATAGGTATGATGAAACCCTTAATTTCTAGCTCCCTGTATGTCAGCAGTCAGCCAGGGAATGGATAACTGGATAGTCACTATTAAGCTGGTGCCGGATCTTAGTGACTGCGGGGTGTAGGGAGACAGTGTATAGGGGAAACAGGCTTTGCTGGGAATGGCTACTCTTTGAAACACTTTCCCTTGACCCAGATTTTCAGTTCTGAGCATAGCATGATGCACATCCAGGGACTGCGTAATCCCGGAGGTGGCATACACATTGCAGATATTGTGGATGTGATTGTTATTATGACATTTTCCAGCATTTGGAAGTCAAGTGTCTTGAGGAAGGAGTGTACATTTTTTCATTTATAGAAATGTGATTTATGGAACAGTAGCAACCTTTGCACACATGCTGCACGACCTGGGACAAGGCTAGCGGATCTTTCTTGATGATGATGCACAAATTATCATTTTAGAGGCATGTGGAAGTGGACATCTCTTCTGCAAGAATTGAACATTTGGTCCACACTCTTGAGTTTTTCTCCATAACATAGAGTCTGTATCCCTCAAGTCTTGGTAAAGAAAGCTGGTTAGAGTTATTGTTACGTAAGTAGAAACAACACAAAGTGTTACTGTTTTACATCTCTCTCCATTTTCTGTTTATACAATCCTATTGGAAATGCTTAGCAATATGCATAGGTACAACATACATTTCGAATGAATGAATTAGAAACATTACATATCATCTCCTCAATTATTGAAGGGTACATCCCTTGAATTTTTCAATCAATGATATTCTCGGGGTGTTACTTTTTCAAAACTGATTATAAAATGTTTTATAATGAATTTCATTTGCATATATGGACACACATACAATAAAGTCTTCATAGAATCCTGAAACAATATGGCAAAATAATTTGTTAAGATATTAATTTGTGTGTATTTGTCTATAACCCTATCCCCTACTATTCTAGGGAGTCCTGGTGTGGCGCTGTGAGTTAATGCACCAGACTACAAAGTCATTTGAATTGCAAGGTCAGCAGTTCAAACTCACCAGCTGTTCCTCGGAAACCCTATACAGGGTCGCTATAGGTAGGAACCTACTCAATGGCCCTTAGCAACAACAGCCATTCTACTGGGAGTGTGGTGGCTCTATAGGGTAAACACTGGACTGCAAACCATAAGGTCAGCGGTTCAAGCCACCAGCCACTCTGCAGGAGAAAGATACAACCTTCTGCTCTCACTAAGATTTATAACCTTGGAAACCCTATATAAGGTCTCTCTGAGTCGGCACTGCCTCGATAGCACTTAACAGAGATAACAACCATTTTTGTGTTGTCTTATACCAGGGAAATTGTTATATGACCAAAGAAATGCAAGATGTCTCTCCTCCTTATTTTTGCTTCCTTAAATTCTGAGATCAAGGGAGAGAATCTGATAAATATATTTGGAAGTAACAAGAGAGGAAAGGGAAAGACTTTACACAATTCTATAGAAGTCTGATCTAAAAGAGTCTTTAAAGCCCTGGAAAAACTTCAGAGAGAATAGTTGTGTGGTGTCCCTGTGAAGCCCATATCTGCTGGAGTCCCAGCCTCAGCAATGATGCAGAACCCTACACGAGGCAAGGATGCCAAAAGCCTCTAGATTCTAAGAGAGTAAACCATTGTGGTCAGTAAGAAACATGTTGGGATTGAAACCAGATTATTCCTTCATTTTGGGTAGTCATATAAGCTTGCTGAATTCTAGGGAAATCCTGGGAAGAAACCCCAAGAACAACTTAGATTGAATTCCTTATGAGTTTAATAGGTTGAGGGCTGAAATTCAGATTTAATATTTCATTATTTTATGATGAAATGATTTTAAGCTTTATAAAGAAATGCTTACTTCCTGCATGGCTGACTTAGGGGGTTGAAATGTTCATACTTGCTTTTGTTTTGCATAATCACGTATAAAAATTGTCTATGCCCACGATAGTTGAGTTGACCCCAACTCATGGTTACTCTCTGAGACTTAGGGTTGCCGAGATTGTAATTTTTACAGAAGCAGACTGCCACATCTTTCTACCAAGAAGTGGATTCGAACTGCTGACCTTTCAGTTAGCATATAAGTGCTTTAACCACTGTACCATCGGGGATCTTTTAGGAAATGTCTATAATTCCTTGTAAATAAGGAGAGAAAATTAAATCACATAATTGAATGAGATGAAGTATGGTGTTAGAATCCTATGTTAGGAATTCCGTGATCCCTATGTTGTTGTTAAGTGATGGTATATTGCAAAAACAATTAAATAAATAATTAGCACATTTTTCATTATATCAGAATGCAGAAAAGTTTACAAATATATTATAGCTGTTGCTAAGTGTCATTGAGTCCATTCGGACTCATAGTGACTCTGTATTGGGTTCCTGAGGAGTGTCTGGTGGGTTTGAATTGCTGACCTTGCAGTTAGCAGTCAAGCACTTTTCCCTATAAGAGTCTCCAACTAGTTGTTACAATTGTATATAAAAATACCCACCGTTTTTCCATAGTCCTTTTTCTCAGGGCAATATCTGCCATCATGTTCTTCACTGAGGGCAATTTATTCAGTCCTAGAAGAGAAAATTCAGAGTCTGGCAGGGTTCCAAGGAATAGGAGGGACACATTTGTTTTGAAAGGAAAGAACAAGTGTCAAAAAGAAACTGGGAATTTAATTTAGCTTTTCTCCATTGTTTACTCACATACCTTTGAACACTCGAGTAGCCCAGCGAGACTGGAGTTCTGCAATTGGTAGGACAATACCCAGTGGCTGGATAAGACCGATGACAGCCAATGTTGGCTTTTCCAGGTCTGGGGGGAACATAAGTTTATACAGAGACACTTCATTGTTACTAACTTTTATCAGACCATGAAGGAAGGGAAAAGAAAAACTATATCCGGTAGCAAAGATGACAACATCAATCTTTTCTTCTATGGTGCCGTCATCAAAAATGGCATCTGTCTCTGTGAACTCCTTCACATTGGGCTTCATGTGGACTCTTCCAGAAATTATGTGATTGGGCAGGTCATCACTGACAGTTGGATGCTGACTTAAAACTCTGTACACAAACATCAAAGAGCCCAAGTAAGTGAATATACAAAAAGAAAGTTTTAGTTTAATTTTTTTTTTTGGTACTTGATCTCCAAGTACCAAATTCAGCTCTCAACAGAAACCATTTTCTCCCTCAATGTATCTACTCTTGTCTTTGCTTGAGTTATGATATTTTTACACTGCAAAGTATATTTTACGCCACACTTGAGTCTCCTTAAGGTCTCTTTGAATTTTCAGTCAGCTCTACTTCTCTTTCTTCCTCTATTGCCTTAGCCATGTGTTTGGATTTTTTAACAGATCTCACTCTCTCTGGATGGTGAATTCATTTATATGGGATGGTATTTTTCTTGGACAGCTCACTAGAGCTAAGATCTGGTTATTGGAATATCCCTTGTGTTGGCTGTTCTACAGGTAGTAAAACATGAAGAATTCTATCTCTGTGGACACAAATTAGAGAAACATGCGAACAATTCTTCCTTTAATGTTGTTGTTGTTGTTGTTAAGTGCTGTCGAGTTGGGTCTGACCCATAGCGACTCTATATAGGGTTTCTGAGGAGTGGCTGGTAAGCTTGAACTCTTGACCTTTTAGCCAACACAAGATTTACAGGAATTCAGAAAGAGGTCTTTGATTTTGGAGAACTTGATTATTATATGTCTTGGTGATTGTCTTTTAGGGTCTATCCATCCTGGGGTTCGTTGAGTTTCTTGAATGCTTATCATTTCACTTTTCATGATGTTAGGGAAATGTTCTTCCAGAAGCTCTTCAACTATCTCCTCTGTGGACTTGTGTGATTGTTCCTGTTCTGGAATGCCAATAATTCTTATGTTATTCCTCTTCATGTTATCCAACATGAATCTTAGGCCTTCTTCAGATTTTTTTTTTATCCTTTTTTGTATTTGTTCTTCTATCTTAGTAGTGTTGAGAGATTTATCTTCCAACTCACTAGTTCTGGCTTCTATCTCTTCAATTCTACTCCTTTGCCCTTTCAGTGTATTGTCCATTTCTGATATTCTATAATTAATTGTTTGGACCTCTTTCTATAGGTTTTGAAATGTTTCCAATGCTATATTTATCTTATGATTGTTCCTGTAACACTTTCCTGACTTCTTCATTATTTTTCTCAACTCCATTGTACAGTGTTTTGATACATTTTATAATCATTTTTCTGAATTCCTTCTCAGGCATTTCCAAAGCCTGCCCATCTTCCAGTATAGAGTATAGGTCTACTTCCAGCTCATTTGCCTCAGTCACTTTATCTTGTTTCTGGACATGTGCAGATATGGTCATCGTCTTCTGTTTTGTGGACATATTCAGGGGTTGTTTGTGGCCTTAATACTTATATGGTTGTTTATTTTGCTATTTTTTATGCTTTCTGATTGCCTCCAGGTAGATGTGATCAGGAAATGGGCTTCCCTTTTCACTCTTCTTCCTGAGCAATTTCAAGATGCCACTGCTGGTCGTTTTGGCTTAATTTAGGATTTAATTTTCAGCTTATTTCTTTTTTTCTGCTTGTCCCACTCCACAATCCCCATTCAGGCCTTTTTTCTAGTTGTAAACAGTTCAGGGCCGGCTATGGTCATTTGGTTTTAATTGGAAACTGTCTCTTTAAATTTCGAGGAGCTCTGTGCGCATGCGTGGTAGAACCCTCCGAGGGTGTGGCTGGGGTGCGCACTAGCTCAGGCACCCCTATGGTCACCAGAATGGAGGTGCACAGACAGCAAGGGACCAATGAACAGCTACCAAAAGAAAATAATGTCCACACCTTTATCGCTGCGGTTCTGCCAGGCATCTGTGGCCGCTCCGATCCTTCTCCCACTTGGTCTCACCCAAAAAGGCGGCTCCTGGAGCAGCTGAACATCCCGAACTAGAAAGCAGTGGATTTTTTGCTTCTACCACAGATTCTTCCAGCTGTAAGCCTTCCAACCTTCTAAATATTCCTTTATATCTGGGACTATCCTCTGAGCCTGCTTGGTCAGGTATTCCGTGTTGTTGCTGATGGAACGCCTTTTTATACTTCTACCCGATCTGCCATCTTGTTTGTTCTCTAACAGCTGGTAGTTTTGAACTGTGACCTTGAGGTTAGCAGCCCGACTATGCTACCATAGTAGAACTACCTCATAGGATTTCTAAGGAATCCTGGTGTGGCACTGTGGGTTAATGCGCCAGACTGCAAAGCTGTTTGAACTGTATTGCCAGTGTTTCAAGCTCACCAGCTGCTCCTAGAAAACCCTGTACAGGGTTGCTATGGGATGGAATTGAGTCAACGGCACTTCACAACAACAACAATCATGTATGGAAGCAGACTGTCCCATCTTTCTCTAGTGAAATGGCTTGTGGGTTTGAATCACCCACGTTGAAGTTGGTAGCCAAGCCACCAGGTTAGTAATTCAATACCCAGGTTCCTTGTATACTAGCATAAATGTTTTCTGTGAATAAATATATGAATATATGTTTATTATAAACTTATAAATATATTAGTAAGTGCATGAGATTAAAAGACCACCGTAAATGTGAATTCTTTGAAGTTGAAGGCAAATTATGTTTTACACGTGAACATTGTTGTTGTTGTTAAGTGCTGTTGAGTCGGTTCTGACCCATAGCGACCCTGAACAGGGTTTCCGAGGCTGTAAATCTTTACGAGAGCAGAAAGCCTCATATTTTTCCTGCAGAGCAGCTGGTAGTTTCGAACTGCTTACCTTGAGGTTTGTAGCCCGATTCGTAACCACTACGCTACCAGAGCAGACAAATTATTACCTGTGCTGAGGCTTCAGGCCGTAGTGTGCATGATTGAATCTTGAATTCAGTATTTTCTCTAGATGTTTATTTGTTAGTTCTGTCGATATTTTCTGGAGAAAACTATTGAACCGAGTGAAGAAGGAACTATCCATAGGATACCCATTTTCCCAAACACGATGTAAAACCCAGGCTCCTCGTCTAGTACTAAGGAACACCTGAGGAAGAGAAAAAGAAAAAGAGCAAAAGAGAGAAAGAAGCCTGTAAGTGAAATGATTTTTATTTTTATTTTACCCTTTTCTAGTTTTAGGACCTTGTAGAATAAGCGCTCGACAGCTAACCCCAAGGATGGTGATTCAAACCAACCAGGCACTCTTCAGAAACCCTATACAGGGTCGCTTTGAGTTGGAATCAACTCAATAGTACTTAGCAACAACAGCCAAGTTTTAGAAATGTTGGTTACTGAAAAATAGGAAGTAAAAAGTAACGTCCAGGGGGTCACAATTCAGAGCTCTGCTGGAGCTCACTACTGACTTCCAGAGACAGGCTGCATCTATGATGTCAAATTTCTGGATGAAAAATTTATTCATTAAAGCAGATGCTTCTGAATTACTGTTTAAATTAAAAAGTATTCCTGAATATGGCCATAGCTGTATTTTGTGTGATTTATATAAATAAATAAAATATAATAACTTAAAATTAGAAGTAAATGACAATATTAATGGCTATAGAATTTCACTCCATAGTTTGCATCCAAATTTTAAAAATACAGTAAAAAATTTAATCAATCAAAGGCTTCAGAAGAAGTGTACTGATTTTAATAGAATGTCACTATATGCCCTTTTCAAATCTTTCTGTACTATATTTGTGGAGTCCTGGTGTGGCACTGTAGGATAAGCATTGGACTGTTAACCTCAAGGCTGGCACTTCAAACCCACCAACTGCTTCTCAGAAGCCCTGTACAGGGTAGCTATGAGTTGGCATCATCCTGAAGGCACTAACAACAACAATATATTTGTAAGCTTTTCTGCATTCTGGTGTAATGAAAAAAATGTCTGAATTATTTGTTTGATTGTTGCTTTTGTAATATGGTGGGCATCATTTATAATCTTAATTCCTACTAGCCAGAGACAACAGAAGAGATGACATCAGTGACTATGAGTATATGTTTAAAAAAAAAAAATTAAAAATGAAGTAAGCCTTTAGTAAGTGACTTAGTAGTAATTTGCCTTAAAAACTGAGAAAATATAAGTGATAAATAAAGATCAGTAAATAAATATAGGCAAAAGCAGTTGGGATATCTCAAGATCCTAATAGGTTGAGTTTTTTGTTTTGTTTTTTTAATTTATTAAGACAATTGAATATGGGGAGTGTATAGCTTTGTAGAATAAGCACTGGACTGCAAACCACAAGGTTGGCAGTTGGAGTCTACCAGCAGCTCGGTGAGAGAAAGATGAGGTTTTCTGTTCCCATAAAGATTGACAGCCTAGGAAACCCTATGAGGACTGCTATGAATCAGAACTGACTCGACAGCACTTAACAACAACAATATTTAATACAGTCAATAGTCCTGAATTTAAAAGTTAGCTCATTTTCTTCTAAACTTAACTATTATTTTTTCAATGGAAAAAATAATAATGCTGAATAATCAATTATAAAAGATGTGTTTTTGGATAACTTGCTTTTGTGTTAAATGAAATATGCCTAAAGTGGAGTGCTTTCATTCTATCTTTCCCTATCACTATAGATGCATTATAAAACTTCCAACTAAATAGGACCATATATTTATTATCTTCACCCATTCTCCTCTTTTCTGTTCTTGAATTTTACTACTGAAATCTACTGATCTTACTGGATTCCCTATTTTTTACTTTTACTACATTTGCAGTCTCTGTCAGAATCCAAGTAGTGCCATGACAGTGAAAAAAGAGTCAGATTCATTATCTAACATTCGGTTTACTTCAATCTTTCACTTACTTAGCTCACTTAATTATAATTAGTGAAAGAAAAACTGGTTACCAAAAAGTTAACTCAGATTCATATGTGTCAGAGTAGAGCTGTGCTTCATGTTTTTTTTTTTTTTTTTTCCCTATCTACTTCTTTGGTATTGTAAATGTATTTTAATAATATTTTGGTTTTAAAGTAAAAATTTACACAGAAAATTAAGCACCCATTTAACTATTTTTATACAAACTGTTCAGTGACACTGGCTATACTTTTTGTAATGTGTCAGCATCCTCATTATTTCCATTCTGGTTGTTCTGTCTCCATTAGTTTAGCTTCCCTGTCCCTCCTTACCCTCTCATCTTTGCTTTTGAGTAAATGTTGACTGTTTGGTCTCATATAGTTAGTTATTAAGGAAGCATAGTACTCATGGGTGATATTATTTATTATATAGCCGAATCTATTATTTGGCTGACAGGTGACATCTGGGAGTGGCTGCAGTTTCAAGTTCAGAAGATATTTTATGGCGATAGGTTTTTGAAGGAGGGTTCCTATAGTTTCAATTGGTCTGGTAAGTCTGACCTTTTCTTTCTTTCTTTTTAAATGATTTTGAATTTTAGTCTACATTTATCTCCTAATTCTATCCAAGACCTTCTACCTTGTCCCTGGTCAGAATGGTTGTTAGTGGTAGCTGGACACCATCTAGTTCTTCTGGACAGAGGCTAGATGAGGCTGAGGTTGGTGTAAGCTCTTAGTCCTATGGACTAGTTTCTTGAGTCTTTGGTTTTCTTCATTCTCTCTTGCTCCAGACAAGAGTTGTAGCTAGATGGCTGCTTGCAAGCTTTTAAGACCCCAGATGCTTCTCACCAAACTAGGATGCAGAACATTACATTTTATTATTATTTGACTTTTTATTGTGAATAAGGTGAAGGTTTGCAGAGCAGATCAGTTTTTCATTCAACAATTCATACACATTTTGCTTCAATTTACTGCTTGCTAGAGCTCTGGTAGCGTAGTGGTTACGAATTGGGCTG